GAACAAGCCAGAGATCCCAGTATTATTACTAGGTACTATAGCTGCAGCAGTCAATGGGGTAATCTTACCCATTTTTGCGATATTGATATCCAGTGTAATCAAGACCTTCTACGAGCCACCTCCTCAACTCCGTAAGGATTCGAAGTTTTGGGCATTAATCTTCATTGTTCTTGGAGTGGTAACTTTCATAGCAATGCCAGCAAGACAATACTTTTTTGCGGTGGCAGGGTGTAAGTTAATAAAACGAGTTCGATCAATGTGCTATGAGAAGGTGGTTTACATGGAAGTAAGTTGGTTTGACGATCCTGAGCACTCAAGTGGTGCAATTGGTGCAAGGCTTTCCGCAGATGCAGCTTCTCTGCGTGGGCTGGTTGGAGATGCTCTAGGGTTGCTGGCTGAGAATTCAGCAACTGCAATTGCTGGTTTTTGTATTGCTTTTGTGGCAAATTGGCAACTTGCTCTTATAATCCTGGTTTTGCTGCCTCTATTAGGCTTAAATGGTTATGTTCAAGTCAAGTTCTTGAAAGGATTCAGTGCTGATGCAAAGGTATTTCTCCAAAGTCCAAACTTTACAAAAGTTTATAGTATAGAACTTGTAGCTGGTGCAGTCAAAACACCATCCAGTACGACATACATAATATATATAAGCCCAATCCTTTTTGTCAATGCTGAAAATTTTAAATTGTTGCAGAAAATGTACGAGGACGCAAGTCAAGTAGCCAATGATGCAGTGGGGAGTATTCGAACAGTTGCTTCCTTTTGTGCTGAAGAGAAGGTGACTGAATTGTACCAGAAGAAATGTGAAGGCCCTATTAAGACAGGGATAAGACGAGGGTTAATCAGCGGGATAGGTTTTGGGCTCTCGTTCTTTTTTCTTTTTTCTGTGTATGCCTGCAGTTTTTATGCTGGAGCTCGACTAGTTGCAGCAGGCAAGACAACATTCTCTGATGTTTTCCGGGTAAGTTTTTATGCCTTGCGCTACAAGTCTTCAAGTAAGTGGCTGAGGATCCGAACTCTGCTAAATACGTGTTACTTGAGAATTAAATCTTCATTGGTCCATTCAGTCGATTGTTAACATTTCCCTGGTTTGCAGGTTTTCTTTGCTCTCGCGATGACAGCTGGTGGAGTGTCTCAGTCAGGTTCCCTAACCCCTAATCTTGGTAAAGGAAAGAGCTCTGCTGCTTCCATATTCGACATTCTTGACCGGAAATCAAAAATAGACTCTAGTGATGAATCTGGAACAACTATAGAAAATGTGAAGGGAGAAATTGAACTTCGCCATGTCAGTTTCAAGTATCCAACTAGACCTGATGTACCAATCTTCCAGGATCTTTGCTTGACCATTCATCATGGCAAGGTAACTTGGTAACAATTCTGTTCTTTTACTTATTTCAAACAATGCATAAGATTTGGTCCTCGTAGTCTAATTCAAGTTTCTGGTACTTACAAATTTGAATTATGTTATTCAGACAGTTGCTTTGGTTGGAGAAAGTGGAAGTGGGAAATCGACAGTCGTCTCATTGTTGCAGAGATTTTACGACCCTGATTCAGGTCACATTACATTAGATGGATTTGAAATCCAAAAGCTACAGCTCAAGTGGTTGAGACAGCAAATGGGACTGGTGAGCCAGGAGCCTGTATTGTTTAATGACACTATCAGAGCCAACATTGCATATGGAAAGGAAGGGAATGCACCAGAGGCTGAAATTATAGCTGCTGCAGAATTGGCAAATGCACACAAGTTCATCAGTAGTTTACAACAGGTGGGCACTACAAAATTAACAAGCTTGTCAATTTCTTTTGGCCACAAATACTATAATGTAATCTATTGCCATGGTGCTGCATAAATAAGAAGGACTAGTTGATTAAAATTCACAAAATTTTATTCGGAACGTTGAAGATTAACCATGTTAAGTTTGGAAAAACAATGCAGGGTTATGATACAATAGTAGGAGAGCGGGGGATTCAATTGTCTGGCGGACAGAAGCAAAGGGTGGCAATTGCACGAGCTATAATGAAGGCACCAAAGATACTACTACTAGATGAAGCCACAAGTGCTCTTGATGCTGAATCGGAACGAGTGGTTCAAGATGCATTGGACCGAATCATGGTGGGTCGAACCACAATCGTGGTTGCCCATCGGTTATCCACAATAAAGGGTGCGGATGTAATCGCAGTGGTGAAAAATGGAGTGATTGTAGAGAAAGGAAAGCATGAAACTTTGATCGGTATCAAGGATGGCATTTATGCTTCTTTGGTAGCATTGCATGCAAGTGCCTCATCTTAGATAGCTTTTATATTCTTTTGGTTTATTTACTCAAATGGTCCTTCAATTTGTACTCGATTTACGTTTTGGTCCCTAAAATAAATTATTCATTCAAATGGTCCATCAACTCTATATTATTAAGTCCATTGGTCCCACGGTCTAATTTTTTGTTAGATTTAACTAAATTTTAGGGTAAATATGACTTTTCATAATTAACAAATAAAAATAGGGTTAAAATAAATACAAAATTAGAAAAAATTTAAGAAAAAGAGAGAAAAAATTGAGTTTTTGTTAAAATTAGCCAAAATTTACCCTATACTTTCATAAATGTTCGTTTTGATAAAAACTTTCAAAAATAGCCAAAAACTCACGTAAATATACTCAAATGCCCTCAAAACATAAACCCACATAAACCTGACAAGCAAAAGAAACTCAAAATATGAAGTGGATATTCCAAAATAATTTTTTTAAAATGAAATCATTTAAGAAAACCAAAGCTACATGGAGTTTTCGGCTTGTTGATTTTTTTTTTCTCACTAGTAAAATTTAATTCCCTTTACTTTAATGTTTATTTACGAAATCCATAGATAAAATCAACAACTATAACTTCAATTATTGTTTGGCAACCAAGAGTATGCATCAATGATTCACAGTCACCAAAAGAATTCAAATATTTGAAGCTTTACAATGAGGAGTCCTGCTGCAAGTAAGTTGGTGTGCTTGTCTCCTTGCGAATCTGCTGCACACACGAAGGGTAGAGGTCTGCCAAACAATTGTTAGACTAGGGTTTTGCTTTTTAGGTTTATGTGGGGTTGAGTTTTGGGGGCATTTGAGTCTATTTACGCGAATTTTTGGTTATTTTTGAAAGTTTTTATCAAAATGGACATTTATGAAAGTATGGGGTAAATTTTGGCTATTTTTGATAAAAACTCAAACAATCATGAGACCCAAACCCAGTCCCCCCTCCCTCTGATTTCTTCTCCCCCATTCCCCCACAGACCCCTCCCCCCTGGCGTTTTCCCCCTCTCCTCTCTGCTCTTTGCCTCATTCAAAAACCAACAAATTGGAAAACAAAAAATAAAAAATTCAAACTTTGTTTGCATCTGTAGTTTGGTTGCAATGATGAGTTTAGGGTTTGTGGGTGAAAAACAGAATGGGGGGAGAGGGGGGAGGGGATTCTGTTATACCCGATTTACACTTATTTAGAGAGAGAGAGAGAGAGAGAGAGAGAGCGCTTTTTATCATTTTTTAGTATAGGGTTTAGGGTCCTCAAACTTATACCCGATTTACACTTATTTAACACAACAAAAAGGTATAAAATACAATTAGGATACTAGAAATGAGTAAAGAAAAATAGAAGAAAAGAAACAAAACAAGAAACCGAAGGTAAACACAAATAGCAATTTCTATCACCCCTTTATAATCATTGTATCACTACTGTATCATCTATGTATCACCACTTTATCACCTATTTGGGGAACCTAGGACAGTTATGGACGGTTTTACCCTTACATTTAACGGCAGCGTTGACAGAATGTAACAGTATATAGGACCAATGGACCGAATAATATAGAGTTGATGGACCATTTGAACGAATAATTTAATTCAAGGACCAAAATGTAAATCGGGTGTAAGTTTGAGGACCATTTGAGTAATTCACCCTATTATTTTTGTCCAAAGAAAAAGAAAGTATGTACTGTAATTTTATTCAGAGAGGTAAATTACCAATAGGAATAGATCATTTTTTTTATTATCCTTCGTTCTTGTAAGCTCCACTTGAAGGGCTCATTCAATTTCATGTGTTTTACATCTTTAAATATTGAAGGGGTTGGGGCCTCATCTCCTCAGAAAATGATAAATAAATGTGCATAAGGAAATGTCATCCAGTGAGCTTGCCAATGGTCCTTTTTAATAAAATCCCCAATTCCTTCTTCCCAATCCAACTTCAATTTGTATTCGAATTCAAATTCACAGTCTTCAGTTAGATTTTAATTCAAGTCATCCATGGCGGGACCGAATCAAACAATTAGATAGCATCTTCGTGCCATGCATAGCCCTCTTCACATAACCAAAAATGATATGCTAAAGTGCAAAATGTTGGAAGAACCTAAGTGCCACATACACAAAGTTCTAAGGGGAAGACCAGAGTAATAAATCTGATAATAGGAACTTTCATAGGAAGTCTTATTGCTAATGTTTTAACAGCACACTGAATGCCTGCTTTGCATTTGCACTATGAGACTAACCAAAATAAAAGCCTCATAGTGTACCTTACAGCTCGATTAGATAGCATCTTCGTGCCATGCATAGCCCTCTTTACATAATCAAATCGATCAGGCTTCACTAATAAGTTGCCTTTCTCTTTGTCTATGACAAGGCCTCTGATAACCTATGGGAAAGGATGGAACAAAGGTAGGAAGGAAATGCTTTATTAGAAATTCCCAAAACAAAGTCGCTGTGTATAGTTTCTAGATGTATTTTTATTAGAAAAGAAATGCTTTATACATGCAAAACATTTGAAGTGCGTCCTAACTGTGAGAGGCTGGTTACCGACTAGTATCGCCAGTTGACTAGCCTCTCACAGCTCGCATGCGCATACATGTTTCCCTATAATCGGCACTTTGAATTCTAGCAACGTGGGGGTAAAATACTATGTCACAGGTTCAGTATTAATGGATGAAAATAACCTCATGTTGTTAATCTGTCTGGCATAAACAATCCACTGATCATTGGATAAGCACTGATTACTAATTAGTAATCAAACATTATTATTCATTATTAGTTTATAACCTTGAAAATTGTAAAGTGCCTGGATCATTCATACAGAACAACAATGGAGTCAAGATACTACAATAATTAGCATGGTCGACTTGAGCAATATTTACAGCCAAAAATGCACTTATACAACATAAAGTCGACCTCGTCATCCACAGCAGACCCATTAAACCTCGAACAGTAGTATGAGTACGAATCATGAGCAAGCGTCTGCAGTGGTAAAAGGCATAAGGCATGAGTGCTCTTTCAAAAAGTTGAGGGTTGTAAAATAGTCATGTTCATTAATATTGTAGTCTTGTTCTCTTTTTCACATTGTTACCTTACAGTATCAGAGTTTTGGTTACAAGAGGTCCTAAGTTCAAAATCTAAAATCCTCATTCTCTACTCATTTGGTAATTTACACGGTCAGCCTTTCAACGTGCAGGGTTGCGCTTGAAGATGACAATGTTGGCATTCCTTAACAATTTAAGCTTTGGTGTTTAGTAGTTACCTGTTCCTGTGAGCGGAAATACATGAAAGGTGTATAATGCAAGAAATTTGACACCCTGGAGGTATATATATCGGCATACCTGTAAGATGAAAAAGAATTGAGAGAATCATTGTTAAGGAAACTCAAAATATAAATTTTTATTTCTGTCACAGACGTGAACCAGAGTCCTGTGATGAATGAAATATGAACTGTCGAAAAAAAAGAACATACTTCTCAATTTGTCTCATCAGATGGCTTTTATCCCAGAACCCTGCACGGGAAAGAAATCCCCACCTAATGCACAGCAGGTTCACGAGGTCAACTGTATATTTATGAATGAAACATTTTCCACAGATATACACTAGTAATAAAAAAAATCAATTCCGTATGTTTCCTAACCCCATCTTACCTTTTGTTGAAGAGCTCTCCATCTGCTTCTAGCATTGGAGCAATTTTCTGGTCCAGTCTTTGCATAACTATAAGTAGCTTTTGCATGCTTTCTGAGAGTTCATGATCATCCAAGTTTGTTGCAGCAAGGGTCTGAAAGTGCAGAAAAGCTCAGATAAAATTAAGAAGCATTACATTATATAAACCATTTCTTTTTTTATATTTCCAGTTCTATCATCTCTTGGTCCACACTCTTGGTTAGGAGTTCATACTGTTTGCTGAGTGGTGATGCTTAATGGGAAAAAGAAAATGTAGCATGGATTCAGTTCAGAGGCAACACCAGACTTAAGAGTTGCACTTATCTATTAGTATAGAAATGTTCAAATGATAACCAGATCATCATGATTTTTATTTTTTTACTCAAATACATGCAACGGTGAGTAGACAATATTTGTTAATTAAAGCAGTAATTGTTTAATGCTCAAGGATACAGATACAAGCATAAAAAAGAGGAGATATGAAAATTATATTGAGATATTATCACTATACATTACAAGAATTCAGTGATGGATAAAGCTTACTTGAGCAGGGCGTCCTTTAGTTCGCCTTTGTGAGGCGAGCCGAAGTTGGTTGAAAAGATCCCCTACGACCTCCTTTTGATTTATAAGCTCTACCAGTGATGCTCTATGACCCCGGCTATGAATCAAAGCACTAAACTGCAGCCTCAAAATTTCACGAAACAAACGGAGACCTAATCAGCATTTAACAGTTCAATGATATTAAATCTCTCAATTACTAGGACACCAAATTAAAAATTATATAGTCCATAGGTGTTCTGTCTGTGGAACAATAGAATATTTATATAAGGAAACAGGCAAGCAGGTTCTTTGGGTTCCATTTGTTGTCTCAAAGTGTTTTTTCCAGTCAGTATATTATTAATCATGCCAAAATTTTCAATTCTTCAATGATAGTGAGATCTCAACTTCCAGAAACATGTTAATTGCACTTTCTCTTCTGTGCTCTTGCATGCAAAGAGAAAATCAACTACACAAACCTCTTCTTCCAATTCTCGACAAATCAATGCTGTCCGCCATCGCTGATGAACTTTAGATTGACTAACATCAGTGTAGATATGATCACCAACATACAGTATTTCGTCTCCATGAATATTTAGGGAATTCTCAACCATCTGAGCACTTCCCCCAGAATACAATCCCCCTGCAAGAAAAAGAATTTGAATGAGCATGAGATCATTAAATAAAACCAGATGAACTTTAGATTGACTTACATCAGTGTAGATATGATCACCAACATACAGTATTTCGTCTCCATGAATATTTAGGGAATTCTCAACCATCTGAGCACTTCCCCCAGAATACAATCCCCCTGCAAGAAAAAGAATTTGAATGAGCATGAGATCATTAAATAAAACCAATGCCAACAAAGTAAAGAATTATCAAAAATATGATCCTTGCAAAGCTCAGAGGAATTTAATATATTGACATGTAAAAATGATGTTGACTGAGAACAAAAACAGCAGAGATTTGACCAACTTAACAACTTAGTCATTTAGTTAATTAATGTCACAATAACAATCATTTATCAAACATGATTATTTAGCTAATGTGCAACCAAGTGACATTCAAAGCAAGTGCAACCACAGAGCACATGAAATTAACAACTTCAATGTATTTTGCCTTAAAAATAAAAGAATTTCAGGGCTAAACAAGCACAAGTACTGAACATTAGTCTTCATCACCTGTTTTAGCCTTGAAGCATGGACGCATGAGCCCCTCTCCTGTCACCACCTCATACATAGGGTGTGACATTTGGAAGAACTCTGGCTTCCTTGCGGAGACTATTACCTGAAAAGGAGCGTAATAGACCAAAAAAACATGACTCACTGCTGTTAATGCGATCACAATTCTAATGATCATTAAGTTTCAAGGCAATCTTTGATTGTTAAACACACACAAAACAAAAAAAAAACAAAAAAACAAAAAAAAAACACTGGTCTGTGATAAAATTATGCTGCTAGTTTAAGCATCACACAGGAAAGAATGATCCTGAGACTTTTATAGCAGAGGTCCTGTAAAATAATTACTATTCAATGTGGCACGAAGTTATAAGTATACAAATGACATTTACTTACAATGTCAAATAAATCCCGCCAACCCATATCATTGGGAAGAAATCTGTTGAAGGAATGCTGCATCATTTTGTCTGTGTAATGATAATCTGAGTTGGTAATGAGCAGAAGCTTTTTACCAGCCTAATGCACGAATAGGTCAAAGTAAATAAGGAGGTAAATGATGTCACACGCTACTGAAAGATAAATTTCTATAAGACGTACCTCCTTTTGATCCAAAAGTGCTAGGGGTAATTCTGGATCAGGTGTCACAAATAGTTCAGGCTTAGACATTATCTCACTCTGCATATATACCACAATCAGTTCATGCTCATGAACCAATTCTTACATATCTAATACACAAATCATAAATATATTAACCTTTAGTTGACCCTCTACATGTGCCCTGAAGAGGGCTCTTCCAACAGCCTGAAATCATGTCAATAGTTAAAAAGGAGCAAGAAAAAACCAATACCAGGCTCTATAAAATTGAGGCACAACATATTGCCTTATAGAGCCCTTTATAATCAAGTGGACCAAGTTGTGCTGCTATGGTTCCATCATCCAATCTGTCAACCATCTGAAAAGAATCACAAGTCAATGTCTGCATACGAATAAACTAAATCCACAAAAATAATAGCAATAAAATGAGTCAGAAGTTAAAAAAGTGCTCTAGCTAAGACAAAACAGTACCTGCATATAAGCGACAGCTTCTGAGACGGAGAACAGTGTATTAAGGAATTCCCATCGACTTTCCTTCCGGAGGTCCACCAGTTCCCTCCCGTACATCTCACTTCAATGAGTAAAAAGTTAAGCCACACTATAGAATATACGATTCCATCTTTTCCCAAAAATGATATGCTAAAGTGCAAAATGTTGGAAGAACCTAAGCGCTACATACACAAAGTTATGCTTGTATTAAAAAAGAGATTTTCTATTTAAACCTCACACTTCTCTTAATTCACCCCATGTTCTAAGTTCACCTCATCTTTTAATTTAAATTTTCACAATTTATAAGAAAACCCCACTATCTTCCCAAACTACCCTTAAATACACCCCAAACTGAAAAAATAAGAAATAAAATAGATTTTCTATTTAAACCCCACAATTTTCTTTATTCTCAGCAAAAAAAAAAATAAAAACAAATAGAACCCTAAACTCGAAATTTAATACTTTCTAAAGAAAGAGAACAACTTTACCTCTCTCCAAGAACTGTAACTGGAATTCCCACACTTGGGTATTATTGAGTTGATAATCAACAAGCTTTTCCATCAACTCCCACGCATATTTAAAGAGGTAGGCTCGTCGATTTTCTATATCTTTAAAAGAGAAGAATAATCTGGCAATAGGATGTAGAGGAGTTTGTATTTTTCTAAAACTTGATATGAAGAGTGGTGAAGTGTGTGGGGTGTGGGGTGTGTGTATAGATGTACTAGGGTTAATTATTAAGTTGGATGACATTTTTTGTCTTTTTACACAATTATAAAACTTACAGCTTAATGATTTAAGTATTGGGGTGAACAAAGAGAAGTGCAGGGTTTAAATAGAAAATCTCTTAAAAAATGAGTGAGCTTTCATAAAATTTTATAATAACAATGACCATGTTAGTGAGAAAATTTAGAGGTGCAATAGTTTAGTTATATATAGCATGGAAATAGGATCACTCTTATGATTTCATCAAATTGCCCATTTTCAAATGGATCGGACTATGAGATTAATGTCAATTTGTTCAAAATATTGGGGGCATTTTAGGAACGATTGTGGGTAAAAATTGAGTGGAATGTCAAAATATAAGGTGAGTGAAAAAAGTAGAATAGTGGGTGAAAATAACAACACTCATGATTTTATCAAATTATCCATTTTCAAATGGATCCGAAGTAAATCACTTTTCAATAAATAGCCCATGCTCACGTTATGTAACCATAAATAAGGCCTTCTGTGCTAATGAATATTTGGCCTTCCTTTTCTTCTTAATTGGCCCATCATATATCTTGCTCAATTCACTTGTGGCCCATCACATATATTTAAACTCAACCTCAATCAAATATGTAAGTGCTCGTAGCTTAAGTGGTATTGGAGGTCGTAAGTTTGATTTTCCTTCTCTAATATCACTTGTATAAAAAATAAAATAAAAATTTAATTGAATATCTTATAATTAAATTCAACTCTGCCTGCGCGTACCAACTTGGAATTGCTTCAATTTGAATATTCTTCAATGAAAACCAACCCTCCTTGAAAACTCAAACTTTTGCAACTAATTGTTGCTTGATTATCACTAGAGTCAGTAATCACAAAATGCTGCAGCTCTAGGACACAGTCATGTTTACCAATTCATCAAAACTAAGAGATGATCATTAAGCTTACTTTAATTTGAAACTCCCTTAGGAATCCAGTAAAGCAAAGAACCAAAATCTTTAGCCAACACGTGTGGTGGGTCCCCCCTTACTTTTCTTGCTATTTCCAGGTATTTTCCAAGAAACAAAATTTGAATAAACATCCTTAGGTCAAAAAAATAAATTAGGTTTAGGGTTATGGGCCATCATCATTTCTGTTTCATGTGATCATGCAACTGATACTTTTCCTTTTTTGGGATTTCAAGATAAGTTCATCTGTTCCTTGGGAGAAAAGAAAAAAAAACACAGAAGGATTATTTAGCCTTGACCATCAAGAATTCTGTCCATAATAATCAATGGCAATTGCATTTTTTTTTCAATTGTGAAAAGCAATTTTCCGTACCCCTTGACCAGATGAGATTCCCAGAAAACATGACCTTTGCAAACTGAACCAGTCAGGCTCAGGCAGTGACTGTTTGTCACTAGATTTCCCAATTTTTTTGAAGATTATTATTCTATGAGAAACGTCTTTTTGCTTTTTCTGAATATATAACTGTAACATATTAGACTAATTACCCATTAATCTATTATTAGTCATAAGCATCCTTAACAATATTATAATCACCTTGTCATCATTTTCTCTGTTTCTACTTTCTACCAAATGCAAGCTCATCTCATCTTCCCAGAAAATGATAAGCAATCGAGAGGATTGACTTCTTGTCATGTACTGATATGCCTGCCCAACACTCCAAGTTACACGTGATATAATAAAAGTATAGTCAACCTCCGAAAGTCATATTGGACCATCCAAATTGCGGTGCTCGAATTGTTCTTTCTATTGCACAAACTTGGGCATCACTCTTAATTTTAATTTTTTTAAAAGAAAAAAGAAAAATGGGAAAGAATCAAACCACATATTAAGATTAATTATTCTACTTTGGAAATGGAAATCTTGGATTCCTTGTTTAATAATTTTGAATTTGATGTTCACATTCTAATATAATATCACAGCCGAATTATCTACATATTTAGTTTGAGCATTTTTCGTCAACGATAATATACAAACACTTCCATCCCATGCCATAGTAGTTTTTGTTTTGCTACCATTCCTTGTTTTCATTTCAATGTATTCTAATCATATATCCCCTCCTTGACAAAATACAACTGAATTAATTGTCCAAATTATGAACATAATTCCAATCCCAGCTTTTTATTTTACTCATTCTGTTATGTAGATAGACTGTGGACCCTGATTAATCTAAAGGGCAAAGCATAATGGATTGGTACCTTCTACCTAACGTTGTGATCTGCTTACATTTCATACAAGTTAAATAATTACAAAAGAAGGACAAACAATTAGATTTTTGGTGTCAAACAACTATAGAGATTGATATATAGAATGTGCTAGTCAATGTGTCACATGTCTTGTTACGTCTCCAAAATGATTTCTTTCCACTGGTCTCAAGTTTTTGCAGGACCTTTTTTAAAAAAAAAAAATTCTAAAACTTTAAAATCAAAGCAATATGATGGTAGGGTAGGTGATGAAGGGGTCTAATTCAGTGGAAAATTGCCTTGATTTGCATATTAGTGGTTTCAAGTTCAAACTCCCATGATACATTGACAGTGTATGTAAGAAAACCCCGTCGCCTTCCTAACTTTGGAAAAAAAAAAGTAGGGTATATTTAACTTTAATTGCAAAAGAAAGATGGATTCGCATTGCAAGTAGTATAGCATAGTATCTGAGCTGACAAATTCAACTTTAACTTTTTGAGCACCTTTTGTATTGAAAGAGACAATAATATGCTAAATTCACACACACTACACGGATGCTAGGACTCGAACCTGAGACCTTGTTTGAAGAAGTAAATACTCTAAACCACTAAATTAGTGGGCCTTTTGCAAATTCAACTTTAACTTAATGTCAAAGCAACCCATTTTATTTCCTGCCTAAGCAAAGCCACCAAGAAGAGGAGCAGAGGACCAGAATTGTACGTCTTTCAATTTAGTTTGAAAAGTCTGGATAGTTTGAACGTTTGACTAATCATGTATCCACACTATCTTTCTAGTTGGTAGGCTGTAGGCTGATGTGCTGCCTTATAAAGCAATGTTTTCGGGGGAAAGTAAAACAATTTCATCAACCCATTTCCTGAAAGTTTGTAAACTTGTTTCCCCCTCAGTGAGTATCTTCATCTTTTGGTGATATTAATGTTTCCTGCAACACTTTTTGAAGTTGTATCTCAGCTGTTTGTGGTTATGTCTCTTCTATTTAAATTTCTCAACTTTAGAGCATGCATTAGCTGCCCACTTGGTTTCTTTCTCTTTTCTCATTCGTTTGATTCCTAGTTTCGTTTTAGTTAGTTTCAAATTGTGTTTGGGAAGTTTTGTTCTCAGCATTCCCACGGCCTGCATTTCATTCCTGCCGTGTGAGGCTTCTTAGTATTTTTGTTATTACTTCTTCTTTTGTTCCTCTGTTTCCCTTTCCTGTCTGTGTTCTTAACCCATATTTTCTATTTTCATCTTCTGGAATCAACATGTACATATTCTGTACCACTTGCTTCAGTAACGGGTTTTCTAATGTTCACACGCACAAAAACAAGATTATAGGAACAAATGGATTTTTAAAGTTTGGCCGAATAATCAACTCCATATTCAATTAGAATCAGTTGGCAAATTTTCCTTGGTTTGTATAGTCAATTTAGTTCCCCAAAAGAAAAAAAAAAATTCTAGTTCCTAATCCAAACCATAAATGTTTTGTCTTGCAGCTCTGATCAAGTTCTCTGTCAGATATAGTAGCAACTTACTTCTCTGAGGTGCTTCTTGTAAAATATAGCAGCTTTACTATTGCTGTGAAAAACATGGCTGAGGAAAATCCTGCGGATGGAAATGTAATCAAGGAGCAGGGAACGGCAGCATCAAACGGCCACTCAGCAGTAGTGGAGGACTCTCAAAACAACCCACAAGATACAAGCAAGAGCAAGGAGGATGGCACCAAAACAGTACCATATCACAAGCTTTTCTCCTTTGCTGATTCCTTGGATTACCTGTTAATGTCTGTTGGTACAATCAGCGCTATTGGAAATGGGTTCTGTATGCCTCTAATGACCATAATCTTTGGAGATGTGATTAACTCCTTTGGAGAGAGTGGGAATAATAAAGACGTGGTTGATGCAGTTTCCAAGGTAAATCTTCTGTGACTATAAACTGGTAGATAGTTATCTCTGTTAATGTAACATCTTCATAGAAATTAAGTCAACTAGGCAATAGCAGCAATAAAGAACAAAATATTCTGTGACTATAAACTGGTATCCAGTTCTATCAGAACTGTGAGCTTACTTCTGTTTTAACATCTATTTTGGTTCTCTGGTTCCTCTAACATATAATTTGGCCAATTCAACATTCTCAGGTGGCTCTAAAGTTTGTCTACTTGGCAGTGGGAGCTGCTGCAGCTGCATTTCTACGTAAGTACACTGAACTGCCTGCTGGTGCACCAAACAAATAATTTGGCTTTTTGGAAACTGAGATTAGTAGCTTTCTCTCTATGCCAGAGAT